AGTAGTAGCGCCACTCGTGCCCTGTGGGGCGGTAGCCGGTGCGGATGTAAGGCTCCCGGAAGAGCTGGGGCACATCCGTTTCCGGGACGGTGCAAGGCATCTTGGGCAGCCCGTCCTCCAGGATCTTGGGCAGGCGGCGCAGCTGCTGCCCGCTCACCGACAGCGTGCTCAGGCGCTCCAAGATGGCGGTCGTCATGGCGGCCTCGCCGGCCCTCCGCGCAGCGCGGGCAGCACAGGGGGCGCAACCTGAGGAAAAGAAAGGAGAATTGGCAAGGCTGCAGTGAGACACGAACGCAGCTAAGACGGCCAAGCAACTGTGGCTCTTCTTCATGGGACGTGGCTTTCTGGTGCAGTAGGGGAAGCAGGGAAATATAGGTAGGTAGGTTCTAACTCTCATTTTCTTAATCTGTACAGTGATGGAGTTGGACCAAGATCCCTTTACTGCCCCCAAAATCTGAGTCTGTATCTACTCCACCCTACACTGTGAGGCAAAGACACGTCTTGTATAATGGGAAGGTTAGCCAACCTAGCATGACTTAATGATATCAATGATTTAATGATAAAGAAGATTTAATGAAATCTAGGTTACCTAATTCTGCTAAAAGTAGGCATGAAGATGGTTCTCCTTAATTCAGTGTCCCATTAATCTTAGCCAAGATTCCTTCACTTCCTGTGCCTTGTAAGACTATGATCCATAAGGACAAGGAATACGCCTTTTATTACCAACAAAGCTCTTGAATCCTTTGCCTTTCAAATGCTGTAGCCACAACATATCCTTGGAAACACGTATTAATTTAAAAGCCAACCTTTAAAAATAAAAAGTCAACTTCTGTTGTATCAAGTTTTCCCCAAATCAGAATGGGCTGCCTCCACACCTTGCCCCACCTGACAGTCTCAGGAATCTTTCTTGGTCAGTCTGGCCTAGTCAACTTCTGTTGTATCAAGTTTTCCCCAAATCAGAATAGGCTGCCTCCACACCTTGCCCCACCTGACAGTCTCAGGAATCTTTCTTGGTCAGTCTGGCCTTGACCTTGTGCCTCAGGAGGGCTGCGGTGGCAGCACTGCAGGCGGCCAAGAAGAAGAAGGAGAGGCAGGCCGTGTAGACGGACATAGGACCATGGCGCTGCAGGAAAATCTCCTGCCGCCCCTGGTAGTCCAGGAGTATGGCCTCCAGCTGGGAGAGCGTGCAGATAGACAGAAAGGCATGGAAGATCTGATGCCCGTGGCCCACAATGTCACAGGAACCCGGAAAGTACTTCTCAGGCACGGGACAGGAGAAGAAGTAGGCGCTAACCAAAAAGAAGAGGATCTGGAGGGTGTGGTACCAGGCGGCCTGCTCCTGGCAGCCAGCCAGGTGGCAGAGTGCCACACGGTGTGCCACAGGGCTGATGTCTAGGATGAAGGCCAGCCCTGCCGGCACCACTTGACAGATCTTCCTCATGACAGGGTAAGGCCTCCGGTAACGATACTTGGCATAGCAACAGCCAGCACAAGATAACCAGCCACAGAAGGCAGCTGCTGGCAAGAAAAAAAGCCAGAACCGCTCGTACCAGGCCTGGTCGGAGCTGTAGAAGAAGTGGGCCAAGGCACTGCCATATTGGTAGACGCTCACGCCAACATAGTCCACAAAGTAGAAGGTGTAGTGGGAGAGCTCAGACTTGGACTGCAACAGGTGGGCCAGAAGGCTGCACGTGAGGTAAGTGATTGAAGACAGGATAAAGAGGAGCAGGGGCAGGGAGTGGGTAGAGGCCCATGGCAAGGCCTCAGCCTCCGCAAAGGCCCAGAATCGCAAGAGGACGGCCAGGGCCGCCAGCAAGTGGGTCCACACGTTGACCACCTCATTGTGTTTCTGAAAGAGGCTGAAGAAGTAGTAGCGCCACTCGTGCCCTGTGGGGCGGTAGCCGGTGCGGATGTAAGGCTCCCGGAAGAGCTGGGGCACATCCGTTTCCGGGACGGTGCAAGGCATCTTGGGCAGCCCGTCCTCCAGGATCTTGGGCAGGCGGCGCAGCTGCTGCCCGCTCACCGACAGCGTGCTCAGGCGCTCCAAGATGGCGGTCGTCATGGCGGCCTCGCCGGCCCTCCGCGCAGCGCGGGCAGCACAGGGGGCGCAACCTGAGGAAAAGAAAGGAGAATTGGCAAGGCTGCAGTGAGACACGAACGCAGCTAAGACGGCCAAGCAACTGTGGCTCTTCTTCATGGGACGTGGCTTTCTGGTGCAGTAGGGGAAGCAGGGAAATATAGGTAGGTAGGTTCTAACTCTCATTTTCTTAATCTGTACAGTGATGGAGTTGGACCAAGATCCCTTTACTGCCCCCAAAATCTGAGTCTGTATCTACTCCACCCTACACTGTGAGGCAAAGACACGTCTTGTATAATGGGAAGGTTAGCCAACCTAGCATGACTTAATGATATCAATGATTTAATGATAAAGAAGATTTAATGAAATCTAGGTTACCTTTAAGGGTATGGGGTTTTTAGATGTTATTAAAATGTAATCATCAGGCAGGCTCTAATAGCATTAAGTATTATAAATATTATGTTGAAATAGAATTATAAATATTGATATTACTAATGATAGCCTACTTTTTTTAGCACCCACTTACTCTTATTAAACTGTCCCCTAATTTCACTGGTAACTTGAAAATCTGAGGTAAGCAATTGACTAAACCTCAAAGTAAGGACAGGCAAGTGATTCATCAGTTAGGTTGGTGAAGACCAGTGCATATTCTGGGATTTTTTTTTTTCTTTTTTAGACTCTTGAAAAGTTTATTAACATTATTATTATAAGAAATTATTCAACTTTTCAGGCTTTATGAAGTTATTGTTTTAAAGATTAACTTTAATACAAAAATCCTCATGTTAACCAATTAGACATGTATAAACCTTTTAAAATGATATTCTGGGATATTTTAATAGCTAAAATTAACATGTGGCTTAAATTTAACATAAAATCTAATTACAAAGATTGTTGGTTTTCTTCTTAAATTACACTCTGGAAAGCAAGTAGTTTTGAATTTGCCTGTCCTAGGTACTCAGTGAATTTCAGGCCTCAGAAATGCTAAATGTACACTTGGAATATCTAGGTGACGGATGAGCCAAATGAGCACAGCAATTATTTAATAAAATATTTCATAAAATGGCTGCAAATTTGCATATGAAGTTACTAGGCAAAGAAATAAATTTTTCAGCATATCTACAGTTACCCTTTGTACTCTGCATTTCCTAAACTCTTTTCTTTAGAAGAGTTCAATCCCTGATTTATCTAAATGGTCCCCTTCCTTTGGAGACTCTTGCCTGGAAGAAATATAGCAAGTGCTGCTCAGGGTACTACTAATTTTAGTGAAGAAAATGTAATCTTCCTATTCACACTTAATATCAAAAAGACAAAAAATACCTAATCAGGTAAAAAATGTAGGGAATGAAAATAAAATTTAAAAGAAATTCAGGGACACCTGGAGTCAAGCCCTGATTTTGCTATTTGTTGGGTGACTTTGGGCAAGTTATAGAACACTGTAAGCCTGAATTTTTTTCATCTGTAGAATGAGGGTAATAATTATACATATCGTATGGGTCATTGTGATGGTTAAATGAGAGAGTCAAAACAAAAAAAAGAAGTGGATAGTACTTTGCATGGCCCAAGATACATGCTCAGGAAATGTTAAGTATTGCTGTTATTTTTATTACTATAAGCTAGGCTCTGTTCAAGGTACTAGGTACTAAGGATATAAAGACTGGTAAGATAGGCTCCCTGCCTTTGAGGAAGTCAGAATCTACTGGAAAGACAAAGTGGGAAGTGATGACAAAAATGTGCACATTAAATGTTCTACTAGAGGCAAGCACTGGTTTATAGGGTCTCTGAAAAACACAACCAAAATAAAAGGCAGGGTTGGGGGCAGGGCTCTCTAAGTAACCTCTGAACTGAGTCTTGAAGGAAAAGTCAGAATTCCTGAGAGAAGATCAGGTGGGAAGAGACTTCCAGACGGACAGCAAGGTCAAAGAACTTAACTTTACTCAAGATATGGTCCTCACTCTGCTGAATGTTTGTCCCCTCCAAAGCTCATGTGGAAGTTTGATCCCTAATGTGGCAATGTTGAAAGGTGGGGCCTTTGATGAATGGATAAATCTATTCATGGATTAATGGATTAATTTGTTAATAGATGACTGGGCTATCACAGGAGGGGCACTGGCGGCATTATAAGGAGAGCAAGTGAGCACATTAACTTGTGACTTACCCTGTTGCTATGTGATTTCCTGCACCACTTTGGGACTCTGCAGAGTCCCCATAAGAAGATCCACTCCAGATGTGCCCCCTTGGCTTTTAACTTCCCAACTACTAAAACTGTAAGAAATAAAATTTGTTTTCTTATAAATTACCCAGTTTCAGGTATTCTGTTATAGGTGACAGAAAATGCACTAATACAGGCACAGAAAGCCCAGAGCATCTGATAAGGTCATACCAGTGTAGTTTGCAGTATGACATTGATGCCAGAGAAACCTGAGCTCCAATCCTGAGCCCTATCATCAACACAAAAAGCTGCATGACTCCAGCCTGAGCTTTGTCATCTGTGAAGTAGAATTAATGATAGAGAAGCTGCCTCACAAGGCTGATGCAAAGGCTATGTGACGTAACGCCTGTAAAGCGTTTAACAAAGTGCTTGGTTCCGAGTCTGCGAAAACATTTTCTATGACTGTGACCATGGCTGGTGTGAGACGCAGGAATGGTTCATGAGTGGATTGCCAAATGCCCCCTCTGTACCTTGTACCTACTTCTGTTGCAGCCCTGTAACCCCATATTGAGGCATTCATTTAGCCAGCACCTACCAGACAGTGGCCTCCTACCAGGAATGGGCTACAAGCTAGTGGTGCTCAATACAGAAATTAAGGACACCAAGAGAAATGTATTAAGGACTACAGAGTCATCCAGAAAGAGAAACACAAAGAAGGAGTATGTGAAAAAGAAAATGATCATCAAAACACCTTAATTGATTTTTTAAAAAAGGAAAATAAAGCTAAGCAGTGCTTCAGCTATCAGCCAGCAGAGGGATCTGAGTGCCTGGGAGTTAAGTTCTGGATGGAAGCTTCTCCAGCCGACCTCGGTGGCTGAACTGCAGGAATCAGCCTGGGATATGGGATGACTTTTCAGGCTGTTCTGTTGCTGTTAGCAACATACAGTCTAGGGGAACTGGACTTGTTGGAGCTCTAGGCAATTAAGGTGCTCTATTCTTTAGATACAGGCTTCTGCTATCTCTTATGAAGCAGAGAGGGAAATCAGGTGAAATTACTACTCTAATTTTATGTTTGGGAGAAACTGAGGTGAGTCACTGGGGATATGAAGCGAGGGATAAGGAAGCAAGAGTCCTTAAGATGCTCCCAAATAGGCCCCATCTACATGCCACATAAAATCAGGGTATTTCCATCATCTTTGGGCACCCACTATCAGACAATTCTGCACCCAGAGTTAAATAATATATAACTGCACAATTCCTAATTATCTTTGTATCCTTTAAAATATCACATAGCAGGTTCTTACAAACCGACAACTCAACTGAATTTCTGAAGACTAAAACTTTGGGTTTTAGATGTTTAGTGGTTGGAATCCATCACGATTCAGACCTGGGAACTAACTGACATCTGTCTGTTCTGAGGGAAAAAGGACAGAGTGCAATGCTGCCTTATTATTGGTCTCTAGAAAACCATGACTACAGAGCTCTAACCAAGATAGTTACTGCAGTCCTCATACCACCAACCTCCCTGATAGCTTTATGTATACAAATCCTTTTCAGAAAGTTATTTCTACTTAGCTCTTAAAGTAGGAAGAGGTTTACAGAACTAAGAAGCAGAGAGATATAAGACCAAGAGGATATTAACTTTAACTTCCAAGAAAAAGGTGCACACACACACAAAAAGTTGACAGAATCATCATTTCTGTTGCAAATGAGATCTTTAAAATGCAGCCACACTAGTCTGAGGGTCTCCTTAATAACTCCATCCTCTGGAGTGTGAAACCTAATACCCACAGAGAGACATGGTAGTCAGGGACCCAACCCCCATGGCCTCCAACTCAGAATATGATTCCTTATCTCCCTCAGCAATGAGGGTGTTGCAGAGATCTAAGTCTTCTATCTGGGTGAAAAGGACTTGAATTTCCCTTTGGAAGTGCAGGGTCATGAAAAATTCTAAACTTTGGTAAGAAAGAGAGGTGGTTATTTCTTTGTCCTTTCCTTAGCAACTACCTCTTCCCCTGCCCTGAAATTCTCCCTTTGACAGCAGCCAGCACAGTGTAAAAAAATAATCTAAGTGATTCATTTTCAGAAAGGGGTCGCTGAATAGATAAAGTTCTCCTTCAGATGGTAATGAGTTACCAGCCCTTAATTGTTTACTTCAAATGGATAAAATTGTCCTTGAGATGGTAATGAGTTAATAGCCCTTTATTATTCTCTTCATTTCCTAATGTTTCTCTTTTCACAGGGTTTGGGGTGGGCCTTTTTCACGGGCTTGTCCTGAGCCCTCAGAGAAATTTCCTACAAGGGGGTAGTAAATTGGGGTACTTTTAGACATCTGGGAAGATTGTGCACCCCTAGTACTCTCAGCCAATGAGGAGGTGGGAGCAGGGACTTGCACACTAGGAAATAAATTTCTTGTTACAGCCCTTTTCTGTGTGCCTGTCCGTCAGACACCTGAATCTTGCAAGGCTGTAATTAAAGTCTCCCTTTGCTGTACCTCATGTCTCTGTGTCCATCCTTTGGCCTTGGACGGGTGAGGGTGTTTCTCATATATAGCCACAGTGATGGTAATGAGTTATAATTATTTTATCATCCTTAACCTCAGAAGCAACTGTCTGGTGGGATCTGACCAGCCCCTTAGACAAGCCTTTAACCAAGCCAGAGTGAGCACTGCTTCCAGAAACAGGCTTCAAAAAGGGCCAGCTGTAAAATTTGATCCTGTTTGGAGGAAACCACATATTGGCATCATAATGTGGAGACAGGCACATACCTCCTAGGCTTCCTGTGTGGTGGCTCTGAGTAGGGTCCCCTCCCTCACTCCTGGCCTCTGTCCCCATGCACTCCTACCCAAACTGATGTGGCTGTCAGCTGACCAACATGGTACCTTAGAATGATCTCCCTTGCACAGGGTTCATTCCAACTCCTGAACAGTTGAAATTTAAGTCTTCCTTAAGAATCCTCATGGATAAGTTCAAGTCTTAATCATTTTGATCAGCCAGAAAGCTTTTTCAGAGCAAGAATTATATGCTCAACACTATTCCAGGCCACAAAAGCCACAGAGGAAGAATAAAATAAGAACCCTTACCTCAAGAACCTTATAAGAGTCAAACTTTGTGAGTCAACAGCCAACATCACCAGATGGCACGGAGTCAAGTGTACAGTGAAATACAAACAGGTCTCCACAGAGCAGAGCACGCTTGGGGCACGCTGGGGCAACCATGGGAAAAATGGACTTGCATTAGGCCTGGAAGGGTGGGTAGAGATTAGACAAGTGAGGATTGGGCCGCCTTGGTGGGTCTGTGAGCAGAGGGGCTGATGGGGAATAATGAGGAAGGGAATGGAGTAGGTGCAGTGGCGTTAGTGAAGGTTTACGTTTGATGTTGAATTAGAAAGATGGGAGTCATATCTCTTCCCTGAAGCTTTTAGCTTGTTTCAATACTTATCTCCCATGAGCTCTGCAGGATTCCCACTGCTAATCAACGCATCCTCTCTTGGCTTAAATGACAGTACCCTCTCTGGCTCTGCCTCAGTTTTCTTCTGCCACAACTCTGTCAATTGTGGTGTTCAGAGGTTCCACTATCTGCTCCCTTTTCAGCATCTATGGTGCCTCTCACACAGGTACTTCTCCCAGGCCCCTAGCTTCAGTTAACACCTGTATCAGCTAATTCCCAAATATGCCTCCAGCCAGATCTTTCCTGAGGTTTGGATTCAAATATCCAACTGCTCTGGATGTGTTCAACTGAATGTCCGAAGGGCACTTCAAACTCAACATTTTCAAACATCTCCTCCAGCCTAGACTTGACCCTTTCCCTACATCTGTCTAATCAGCCATCTAGGCCTGCAGATTTTATCTCAGCATTTCTGGAATCTACTTGCTCTTTCCATTTCTACTGCTCTCCCTTAATTCAGGCCTTCAAAGTAACTTATGTGGATGATGGCAACAGCAATCTCATAACTGACCTTTCTTCCTTAAGTGATGGCTCCTCTGCCTCACATCCCCAACCCTCACTTCATTCTCCAAAGTACTTCAGGGCGAGTTTAAAAATGGAAATCTGACTGTCATTCCTCTCCTCAAAATCCCTCAGTAGGTCACCATTATTTGTTTATAACACAAACTTTAAGTCCTTAGCATGAAAACACCCCCTTTCTCTGTTGACCTTCCTATTCCAGTCTCCTCCCCTGGAGCCCATCCCCCAAGCTGCTTTGGGGGCTGGGATCATAAAGCTAGGAATTCTTCAAAAGTTCCACACTCTCTATCTCTGTGCTTGCAACCTTAGTATCTTCAAGCCCAGCAACTCCAACTTATTTTCAACACTCTGTGCAGAAGCCAGCTCTGCCCAACTGGGTTGGGACTTTCCCCAGCTCCCACCATACCCTGGCCTTGCTTTCCCCAGCACGCTTCTTTCCTGGGGCCATGATCACTGGTTTAGTCTGCTCACTTCCCCATTAGCCACAAGCTCCCTTAAGCGTCCCGGACTATATAGTGTGGAAGTCCCTGTGTCAAAAATAGTATACAGCATATGGAAGATACCTAATAATTATGTACTGAATGAAGA